CTGTGTTTTCATGAACATTTTTGACACTTTCCGATATTTATACATCTAGTATCGCTTCAATCGATAATAATACCATGTCTCGTTTTATTTTTTAATTGTTTTGACATTTCAGATCCGCTTTTGATTGTTTTGGAGTATTTACCATACGGTGACTTGTTAGGATACCTGCGCAAGAGTAGAGGACATGAGGACACGTACAACACAGGAGAAAAAAGACCAAATTCCAGACTCACTGAAAAAGAACTGTTATCTTTTGCTTGGATGATAGCTGATGGCATGAGCTATCTGGCAACAATGAAGGTAAACCATGTAACTGGTTGAATCCACCATCATTTCTCTCAGGGGGCCCTGTGGAAGAATCTTTCCTTCTTTTGAACTGGCAAGACAGAGGTCATTTCTGGTTCGCTGTTAAGACAATGTAACAACAGCTTATCTTTGTACTTGAAGAATTCAAAAAACCTCGTTTACTCTAATACATTTCAGGTTGTCCATCGTGATTTAGCCGCTCGTAATGTATTGGTAGGTGAAAACAAAGTCTGTAAAATTTCCGACTTTGGATTAGCACGCGGTTTAGAAGGAGTTGTTTACACGAGAAGAACTCAGGTAATTACCAGATTATCGCCAATGCTTACAGAGAAATTTGCATTTACTTATTTGTAGCTCATACGTGTTCTCATCTGTTGCTATTCTTTTTCCTTCATTTGTTTCTCCTTTCGTTTGTTTATTAATTATGTGGCTGGCTGGCTTGAATACCTGCTGAATTGCTCTTATTACTTCAGCAATTACTTAGTCTACTAACTTAGTGTCCGACCTCCTGGCTGGTTCACATGTTTACCATGTTGCTCGCTTGTCTCAGTTCTTCCGTAATCTTTCTTTACGTTTCTAACTCTTTTCGTTCATTATATTTCTTACTTTCAAGGCCCGTCTTCCAGTTAAGTGGATGCCTCCAGAATCTCTATTCTTTGGTGAATCTAGCACTATGAGTGACGTGTGAGTAAACTTCACTTTTGCCGAGCTTATTTCAAATAACTGCCAAATTTTATATTTCTCAATAAAAAAAAATTAAAAAAATTAAATTTTGGTAAGTTTACTAATTAGTTATGTCTGCATGTATATGAACTAATCTGATGCAATTTTTCCCTCTCCATGCACGGTTGTTGCATACAAAGCAAGATATATACAACTGAGACTGAATTCTGCATTAACTTTAAGGTTATCGTCTTTTCTATGGCTTGGGTTGGGGGAGGCGTCCGATTATCAAAGCGATCCGGACAATCGAGACATGACCCAGACCGGAATGGGAGCGATCGCAGTTGATTTTATGAAAACAACTCTCAGGCGATGGGACCATTGAAGTTACCCAAATCTATCCCAAAATGCATCGAGTTAACCAGAAATCACTGTTCTTACTGTGACTATCCTTTTTGCTGCGAAATAATTGTAATCGGATACAGACCTGATCTGAGTAGTGCTACTTTTCTGCTGTGATCGAGTCGATTAGATTTAAAACGAAAATCTTCTAATCCCTAATCGACCGGGTATCTGTAAACTTTTTTGAGCGAGTGGAACGATATGGACAATTTCAAGAGAGTCCTGAGGTTTGGAACCTCCCAGGGCAACTAAAATCGGCCCCAGAATCATAGAGCTGTGGTCACGATCATATAAGCACATTTTCAAAGGAATTAAGCGTCACCCTTAACTACTTTTTCTCTCCAATCTTTATTTACAAAAGTCCTAGGTTAGTTTAAGAATGTACTAGTAATATTTTTGTCATCAATGTTGGTAGAAGAACAAAAATATTCAGCGTGGCATGACAAAAGAGTTTTGTGTCAGGATACCTATAAAATAAGTTGATTAAAGTGAAGTCAACATATCTGTGTTTTCCAGATGGTCCTATGGAATTGTGATGTGGGAGATGTTCACTATCGGTTAGTACGTACAGTACATTGAAGAAACACGACAGGACTGCAGGCGATGCGCTTTCTTTACCTTGCTCAACTTTATTGCTTGGACAGTACTCAGCCTTTTTTCCTTCTGGGAAAAACATTTACTTTATTATGCATACTTTTTTCTAATTAACATGGTTGCTTTGTGGAAATGTCTTGAATGAGCTTCAGTTGGTTTTATACGTCCTGTAAAACGTCGAAGAAACACTACGCCACAACACAAATTGAATTGCTGTCAAACGTGTTCTTACGTTAACAGGTGAATCGCCTTATCCTGGTAAAAAGGCTCGACAAGTCGCTGACCTGCTACAGAGAGGATACCGCATGCCAAGGCCAAGACATCTTGCCAAAGAATTGTGAGTAGTTTATGGTATAGAAACTCGGGCAGGCAACGAAAACCAAATTTAGTAATGCAATTCATGATCGTTTTCCAGGTACTCCATTATGACCGAGTGTTGGGAAGAGCAGCCTCGTAAAAGGCCAACATTCAAGTGGCTCCGTAATGCAGTCAGAAGATTACTGGACGACAAAAAGGTTTCTAAATTATACACATGATCTAAGAAACATGTTAATCAGCTCAAGAGAAAATAATACGCTGGACAAAACTGTTCTGGGTCGACGTTTTACATCAAAGAAATTAAAACAAACAAAGTGACACAAATAATTTTGTGATTGTCTTAAACTTTACTAGGTTCCACGCATGGAAACCTATTTTTATATGGAACACGCAAGAAAGGCTTGATTTGCACCTTGTCCAAATTTTGGTAACTGAGTCACAAAAGTATGCAAAATCACGTCATTTCTGAGAAAGAAGAGTCACATTTGGGGTGTTCTTTTGCGAAGAAACTCTTGACGTGCTGGTGGATTTTGTTGTCAATATTTTGACAAGAAAGCATGGCGAAGACTTACAACTCATTTGGTCGCTGAAATACAATACTATCTTCAGAAACTGATCTTGATCGAGGTCTTGAAACTGTTCTTGCCATGGATCGGTCTTCCGCATGGTTTGAAGATGGCTGCCTTTAGCTCGCGCATCGTACAAGCCACAAATGCACGAGATATGGCAGTGTTAAAACGCTGTCGGCTGAGAGTCTCAGATACCGGTATTTGTCCTTTTAGGAAAGTTTTCAGACCTTTTCCTGGGCTCGTCTACTAGGAGCTTGCCATTTTCTCGCATAACAGCTTGGAAAACCTTTGTTTGGTTTGCTTTGTGGCATGATGTGGCTCTTCAGTGGCAGTATCACAACTTCAATCTTCGATTCTCTAAACCGCTGATATATATTACAGGATTATAGTGTTGTTTAGATGGATTATCTTTCCTTCCTCATGCCATCTCGTCGAATTCATGAAAAAAAAAAAATTATAAGCACGTAACGATGTTCTTCGCACAACAGCACTGGTCTAAGACTACGATGTTGATGTAAATCACAACTGTTTTTTTTTTTTCAGAAATCGCGCAATTTTCCGCACATTTGTGATTCAGTACGTAAAAGTAGATACTCTATAACGCAAATCTTCCTTACTTGATCTAAATGAAAATTAGTTTCCATGTGTGGAATTTAATAAGGTTTAAGACAATCAAAAAATTATTTGCATCGTTTTGCTTGTTTTGTTTTTTTGTCCTAAAACATCAATCCAGATCAGTTTTGCCCAGCGTACTAAGCAAGAGAAGCAGATCACCCTGCCGCGTGATAATTATTTGTTGCTGACGTTATTGCTTATATTTTTTAATTATTAACGTATTACTTTGCATAGAGTTCTTCAAACAATTAAAGAGCTTCGTGAAATGTTTCACTCTATGAACTTAATGTTCAAGGGTAAATTGGATTTAAAAAACTGCAAAATGTCTGGGTTGCAACATCGCTAATGAGCTCATGCATTCTTTGAAAAATTCTTGTGTGGCGCCAAAACTGTTCAATACATCGGGCTCAATTTCTTTGGACACGTAATCGTGGTACGCCCTTTCAATATTCACAACTGATATTTTAGTAGCTTGATCAAAAACTGAATCGCTTATGCTTATCGGGAAAATATTATTTTTTTCTCGCAGTAGCCCCGTAGAAAAAAATCTTGGACGCAAGATATCAAACACGAAAGACCATGTTTGACCACATTTCCAAACCCGAGAAGAGAGTTGCAAATACGACGCGCAGCGGAGTATTTTTGACGAACTTCGAGGTGTTTGAAAATGTGGTCAAACACTGTCTTGAGTGTTTGATATATCTTCTCAATCTAAACTAAAACTAAGGAGAAAACAGAGAAGTAAAATCGTAAAAATCTATGCTAATTAAGATCAGATATCCAAACACTGTCACGGTCATGATTTCCTTTGTTTAAACTTGATGAGTAATTAATGGATTTGAGAAATATATTCTTAATGGAAACTAAAACTAAGGAATAAATGGCGAAGTAAAATCGCAAAAATCGTTCACACTACGTCAGAGGAATTTTAAAACCCAACAACCGGTCATTTTGGATTTGTGTTTGAAGAAAAATCGGGTGGGGAAATCACGTGATTATCGTAACGCTATCGTCTTCCAACAGCTACGTATTCAAAATGTTTTCCTTCTACCCTAAAACGCAAAGCCAGCGTTTTTTAAATTCCTCCAGTTTAAATGGCGTTTTCGAAAAGCCCCGTTTTCCTGACGGATTAGTGTGGACGAAAGGCGTAACCGGATAAATAAAGCTGCGTTTTCAAATTCTCCCAGCGTAGTGTCGACGTGGCCTGAGTAATCATGGCTTGATGTATTGAGAATTATAGCTGATTGTTATCATGTTATCATCTCACCTACAGATATATATAAACTTGGAGGAGTATGATGATCATGACTATGTGAATTTCGACATGAAAATTGACGAATAATAATGAAGGAGCACGAGTGGAGACCAGAACCTATTTTAATGTTAAAAAAGACTTCATTTTTTCTTGGGAGACAGAACGTTTGAATACACCTGAAATACGGAGGCTTGAACTTAATAGATCTTGAAACGTATGTTAAGTCGTCAAGATTAGCTTTGCTTGGTAGAATTTTTTCAGAAGGCTCATCCCCATGGAAAGCTTATATTACTTATTTGCTTGAGGATTTTGGTGGGGTTTTCCTATTTAGTTGTAATTACGATGTCAGACTGTAAAATTAATTCCACTTTTTACAGAGAACTTCTCCAATGGTGGGCTGACTTAAGAATTGCCTTTTCAACAAAGCCGTCTATATCATATAATATAATTTGGAACCACAAAGATATTTAGATAGATAATAAAACAATATATTAATCAAATTATGTTAAAGCAGGTATCCTGCTTATTAACCACTTGCAATTCAACAAGAATAACATAGAATCTTATAATCGTGCTAAAAGTAAAGGTTTGAAGCATACAAATTTTTTAGTCTGGTCAGGAGTTCGTACTGCTGTTCCTGCCTACATGAAGGGTTTGGATGCGACCGAAAGTGAACTAGAAAGTTCTTTGGAATTTCAATGTGGGGAGAAAAAATTTAATCCTACTGTATGTAAAAATAAACACTTTTATGAACTGCTTGTTTCGGGTAAGGCACGAGTCTCGAGGGGCTTTGCTAAACTGAAGGAGGGCTTTGGTTTAGCAGCTTCAGCTGTTTCTAAAGTGTTCATAAAAGTGAAGACTGTCTCATCCGAAATGTTTATCAGAAGCTTCCAATTCAAGATTTTAAATGACACCACTTTCACTAATTCTCGTCTAGCCAAAATAGTTTATGTTCAAGACGATTCTTGCACATTTTGTAGAGTTAGCTTAGAAACTGTTAGTCATTTATTTTATGAATGTTTTCATACTAACTAGTTTTGGAAAGATTTCAAAAATTTTTGGTTTACACTTTCTGGTAAACAGGTTGAATATTCCTTGGAGGATGTTTTGATAGGCAAATTAGATGAAGTAAGGGACTTACTAAATTACTTTTTAATTATTGCAAAATGGCATATCTGGACGAGTCGTAAATGAAGTTTCAGCCCAAATATTACTACTTTTAAAGAAATGATTAATGTGTAATATAAGACTGGAAAGTACTTAGCCTTAAAAAACAATACGCCAAGAAAATTTTAGGCCAGATGGAAATTATTTATTGATAGTAAATTATGATCTGTTAGACTATTGATCAAATAATCATATTATTATCAACGTTTGTAATTATGGTATGACACTTAATAATATCGCTGTACTTTGTATTTAAGGTTACTCCAAACTTTCGCGGGGCTAATTTTTCCAAATTTTCTTTTTTCCAACGAAATTAAAGTTCATTATTCAAGGTAACATTTTCCAAAAAATGAAAATAAAATATTAAAACGCGCGCAAGTTATTGCGAAAAAGAGATTTTTTAATGAAAGTTAATAAACCGTCAAGGTGTCATAATCCCCAAAAAGCATGAACTCCTCAGTGACCTTTACGCGGCAAACAGCTTAATCCAGAGGTCCTATATCAAATACTTTCAATTTGAGATTTCATGTCCGTCAAGAGTGCTTTTTGTAATCACGCCTCGGCAATTGCTCCTCAGTTTGCACATCGCTTTTCTCCGTTTCGCCCTTTAGTGTTGACCGCCGGCCTAAAACGTGACTGTAACACTATCGCTTTACCGCGAAGCTCAACTTTCCTTACTGTGAACGCCAGGGGTTCTGTTATTTCATTGGCTAGCGGCATTTTGAGTTGACATATCCCTCTGAGAAGGCGTGACATGTTTATAAATCTTTAGAAGGCAAAAATTTACACTCGATTTTCGAGAGAATCGCTCCTCTTTAAACGAATTAATAGGGCATGTAGAATCGACGGTTTTCCTTGAAATTTGGCCAGAAAATTCACTGATAGATACAGAACAAAAAAATTGTCGGCGAATTCTTTTATTTCAAATACTTTTCTCGCGGCGGTCTCTAACGCAACACGTTACGCGAATTTTTCGATAGCGGAACTTGACAGATTTATAAAAAGATAACCAATAGAAATGAAAGAAAATGGTGACACGTTTTGAGAGATTGATGCTTTGTGATTAACACTGCACAGTTATTTTGCAACAACGATTGTATTTGATACCCGATTAATTCGCCGGAATTTTAGTCGGTCGTTTTGGCGTTAACGGCTTCTGCCGCCTTAGGAAAGTAGTCCGCAAAAGAGAAAATACTTTTATCGAACTCTACATTTTATAACCTTTTTATTGATATATAGTTTACGGGGGTTTCCTTCAAAACAGCCCGCGCACAATTTTTTTTTTTCTGGAGGATACCTGCGAAGGTTTGAAGTATCCTTAATAATGGAAATAAAAGTGTGGGGAAAAAAAAAGAATAGCTTGGAATTTTTTGGAAAATCTGAGAAAAACTGGAAATTTCTGATCATTACGAGGCCAGACAAAATCTTGATGAAATTCCCGGAATTAAAATAACAAACATGTACACATCTTATGCTTAACAAGCCATAAAAATGTGCCATTGCACATTTGGCATTTTACATAATTAATTTTCTGACCACTACCTTGTTCCCCTGTATTTTCATTGTCCCTCACTTTTAGGGATCAAACTCATGCACACTGTGGCTGCCTCGG